CCAATCATCGCCAGTTGTTTTCTTCTTCGAGATATTCAAATCCTCCTTCTCTAGATAATTCCAGATCAAGAGAATCAGGCAAGTGGGCGATTCTCGGATCCCGAGTTGGAATTTCTTTTAATGGTTTCTTAAGTCTTCAGGTTTTCTGATGATCGATTGTTTGACTTTTGCAGTGGTTTCGGTAAATTTTGTGGTGGTGGTAGTGGGAAGGTGATAAGATATGGCACAGGAGAAGGAAGGACCGGTGGTTGAGACCGGTGAGCAGAATGATTCCGCCGTCGCTGCCGTGGCCGCAACTGCAACCTCCGATAGCGTGGAGAAGAAGCGAAAGGGATTCTTCTCGCGTATATGGAATGGGATATTTAGGGTTAGAGGAGACGATTTCGAGAAGAGACTTCAATACATCTCAAGGGAAGAAGCGACTGTTTTATCCAGGATGAAGCGCAGATCGATGTCATGGAGGAAACTCACTAGAAATCTCATCGTTTCCTCTGTGATATTCGAGGTTAGTAATTTGCTTCCAGTTGATTGTGGATTTTGAATTTGATGTTGTAGTTAGTTCGTGATGGTAAATTTTCTTCCATTCAGATAATTGCAGTGGGTTATGCGATCATGACCACCAGAACGGAAGATTTGGATTGGAAAATGAGGAGTTTCCGGATCTTGCCAATGTTTCTCTTACCTGCTGTTTCTGCTCTTGCTTATTCCTCAGTCGTCAGCTTCTCAAAGATGTGTGAGTCTTGTGTTTTTCCTTTGTTTAGTAGATGCTCATTTCGTGTAAGATGTTGGTGTTTTCTCGTAGCGTCAGTGTTTCTAATCGTTTCTCTGTGTAAAAATGGTTGATTAGTTGACCGCAGAGATCAAAAGACTTTGGAAAAGCTTCGAGCAGAAAGGTTGGCTAAAATCAATGAGCTTAAAGAAAGGACCAATTATTACACCACACAACAACTTATTCAGGTTAGATAGTAGTCTCGAACAAAGAGAATTTTGTGAGTTTGGCTTGTTTCACACAACATCTTGGATTCTATTAGGATTCTGCTATTTTTGATCAAGTACTGATGCTCTCGACGGTTATCAATTATGGTTACTGGATAGTGACTGTGTTTCTCCATATTTTTAGGATAATGGCGATTATGTATAGATAGTTGGAATTCATTGTATATATTGCCACGATGACCAGCATTCATGCCTGAATATAGTAAGAGAAAGACATAAACTAGTTGTTTTGAAAGTACTTCATGTACTCTTAGGCATGCTATATATTCAATACCTGGAAAGAAACGAATGGATGCTTGCTACTGTGGCTAACCTAAGCTTTTTGATGCAGAGATATGACCCCGACCCAGCTGCAAAGGCTGCTGCTGCAACTGTCTTGGCATCCAAATTGGGTGCTGATTCAGGCTTGAAAGTATATTTAGGAGATGAATCCCAACTCGATCCATCCTCGGGTAAGAGCAATGACATGGAGGTTAACCAATCACGTGGGCTGAGGAATCGAAGACAACCAAATACTAGACCTCACAGTTCTGGGAGCACTTCAGCACATCATTCTGATGATGAGTCTCACCATTCGGGCACAAGCGAGAGATTTCCAGGGATCCCAGAGCAAAACCAGCAGATGTTGGTTGAGCATTACAATCCTCAGGGATATGCGGCTCCCGATGGCAGTTGGATCTCACGCATCGCAGCTCTCCTCGTGGGCGAAGATCCCACACAATCATATGCACTCATTTGTGGAAACTGTCATATGCATAACGGTGAATGAATCTTTATGCTGCATCCTTTACCCACATCTTCTACTATATGCTGGTTTCTAACATAATCTTGCAATGTGTTTTATATTATTTCTTAGGACTTGCTCGGAAAGAGGATTTTGCATACATTACATATTATTGCCCTCACTGTAACGCTCTGAACAAACCGAAGCATTCAGAGGAGAACCGACTTCTTCCTCCTGTTTCCGCTTCACTGGTCACAGACTCTCCGACATTGATCGAAACCAGCGAAGTGGTGAATAGCAGCAGCTCGAGTAGTGAACGTGGTAATAGCCCCACTCCAGAAATAAAGGAGGAAGCTGTGACTACTGAGACTGGGACACACTGAGCTGAGGAAGGTCGAGTTAGCTAAAGAAGAAGGCTTTCTTGAGTTTGTGCTACAGAGAGAGATATTTTTTGTGTGTGAGTTTGTGGATCAGAATACTCGTTCAGGTAATCTTATGCTATGAATTGCTAATATCTGAAGCTGCTTACAGTTTTGATTCTGGTCTGTTTCTATACAACAAGACAGTAGGGTTTTGGTGGGTAAATATACGATTCCTATGTCGTAAACGATGATTGTTATACGTTTTTGGGGTTCAAATCTTTTTAATTCTCTTTACAGATACATTTTCGACTCTACATTTACAGATGGTGTGTTTTGTTAATTTGGATCATTTGACCTTTAATACTAAAAGCTACAGTTTCTTGTATATAGTTTACTTTCTCCAAGCCTGAATTTAAAATTATTGATGGTGTTTGTTATTTTGCTAGTTCATGATATGAATGTGACTTTTGGTAGAAATAATACTCTATGTCGTAATTAAATTCCAAACTTCTTTGTGTTTTGCCATCTCCACTTAAAAAGTTTTAAACTTTCCACCATATTTAAACCAAAAGAATAGCTTTCAGTCGTCTCTTATTGATCTGAGCAAGAAAAAGAAAGAGATGTTGCAATAAAATACTGAAAAGATGAAGACACCATTAGTCGAAGGAACTTTATCCTCTGTTTCCACTTGCAAAGAACTTCTCGTCTGTTAAAAGTGTAAGGAAGATCAATTTTTTCTTTGAGTAGAGAAACATGAGCTTCAAAAATACAAATTGCTGCTCTGTCTTCTTGATGCTATTCAAGCTGCTACTTTTGCTGATCATTTATTCTGCAGATCTCGCTGCTTCTTCAAGCCCTTGTCGAAAAGAGTGTGGAGGAATCACGATCCCATATCCTTTTGGAATCGGAAATGGTTGCTATCTCGACAAGTATTACGAAATCGAATGTCGGAAAACCAATACTCCAAGAAAGGTAGTCCCTTTCCTTTCTGCAATTAGAAAAGAAGTTGTGAGCATCACTCTGCCTAATGAAGAACGTGATTCTATATTTGGTGAATCATTTGGGTTTGTTAGTTCTCGAGGATATGGGTTAGTTCGTGTCAAAAGACCGATAACATCCACAGGATGTTCCAGCGATGGAAAGGAGTCTGCAGGATCAGTTTTGAACTTGACGGGTAGCCCTTTTTTCAGTGACAGCGTAAACAGCCTCATAGCGGTTGGTTGCAACAGCAAAGTGTCGTTGACGCATATAACGCCGAGCATGGTGGGATGCGAGTTGAATTGCAAGACGAGCAGAGACTTGCGACTCAATAACATCCCTTTTCTCAATAAAACTGGGTGTTTGAGCCACGTTTTTTCCTATGCTTACGACGAGGTTTGTGCAGAAGAAACAGGATGCGATGGTAACGGATGTTGTCAGGCAAATCTACCTGGCGAGCCTCAACAAGTTATTGGTATCAGAATAGAGAGCAATGATGGAGGCTTGACGACAAGAAGAGAACCTTGTAGAGTCGCCTTCTTAACAGATGAATACTACACTTTGTCGAATGGCACCAAACCACAAGAGTTATTTGCTAAGGATATGCTACACTTAGTCTAGGATGGTTAATCCAGACCAAGAATACTTCCTTCATCAACTCCTTGGCCTGCAATATTGGAAATGATACCATTGAGCCTGGAATTAAGTGTAGATGCGGACAAAGTACCATTTCTGAGATTAGTTATGCAAATTGTGAATGCAAGCAAGGTTACATAGGTAACCCATATACTCCGGACGGATGCAGAGGTCAGTATATGTTCCTTCCTTATGCTCTTCTTTGTGTGTGCAAGCATCCTATTGAGTTTTACAAATCATCTGTAGATTATAACATCATGATATATATATATTTCTCAAATGCAGATTTTGATGAATGTAAAGTCAAACCCAAAGTATGTGGAAAGGGAAACACTTGTGTGAATTTTTCGGGAGGCTATAAATGCGTGGGTGATAAGACCAAAGCAATAATGATAGGTAAATCACTGAGTTTCCCATTAAGTTCAATCGCACATTTTAAGCCTTTATAAGCAATCATGATCATCCTATCAAATTCTTGTGCTGTTTGCAGGAGTGGGTACAGGTTTTGGTGTCTTAGTCGTAGTCGCTGGAGTATGGTGGTTGAGAAAATTTCTAATAATAAGAAGGTTGACAAAGAGGAAGAAGAAGTTCTTTAAACGTAACGGGGGACTACTATTGCAACAAGAATTAAACACAAGAGAAGGCAATGTCGAAAAGACAAGAGTCTTTAGCTCGAGAGAACTGGAGAAAGCCACAGAAAACTTTAGCGAAAACAGAGTTCTTGGACAGGGTGGTCAAGGTACTGTGTACAAGGGTATGCTCGTAGATGGTAGAACCGTTGCAGTCAAGAAATCCAAAGTTATAGATGAAGACAAATTACAAGAGTTCATCAACGAAGTGGTCATTCTCTCCCAGATCAACCACAGACACGTCGTCAAACTCTTGGGATGTTGTCTTGAGACGGAAGTTCCTATTCTTGTTTACGAGTTTATTCTCAACGGAAACCTCTTCCAACATATCCATGAAGAATCAGATGATTACTCTATGATATGGAGTATGCGTTTACGCATTGCTGTGGATATCGCAGGAGCTCTTTCTTATCTTCATTCTTCTGCAAACTCTCCGATTTACCACAGAGATATCAAGTCAACAAACATATTGCTAGACGAGAAGTACCGAGCCAAGGTGGCTGATTTCGGAACATCAAGGTCAGTAACCATAGATCAAACTCACTGGACAACAGTTATTTCAGGTACGGTTGGGTATCTGGATCCAGAGTACTACCGGTCCAGCCAATATACTGAGAAGAGTGATGTTTATAGCTTTGGAGTTGTTCTCGCGGAACTTATTACCGGAAATAAGCCTGTCATAGCCATACCAAACACTCAAAAAGTAATAAGTTTGGTAGAGCATTTCAGAGTTGCTATGAAAGAGAAGAGACTTATTGATATTATTGATGCTCGAATAAGAGATGATTGCAAAGCAGAACAAGTAATGGCAGTGGCAAAGCTGGCGATGAGGTGTTTGAGCTCAAAAGGAAAGAATCGTCCGAATATGAGAGAAGTTTTTACCGAGTTGGAGAGAATATGTACTTCTCCAGAGGATTCACAAGTGCAGAGTCGGATTGGT